TCCAAAACAGAGCAAATCTGCATTGACTCATTAATTGGCATGCTGCCCCCATCTTCAGTACAGGACATATTTGAGAAGACAGTCATGTAGCAAGGCCAAAAAATTACTACAGATCCGAATCATATCCTCCATAAGGAGTATGAATTGATGACTTCAGGCAGAAGGTACAGGTTACCAACTATAAGTTGAACAGGTATAAATTTTCATTTATCCCACTGTCAGTCAAGCTACTTAATAGCAGGAAATGAAGGTCAACTTTTTAAACTTAGGGGCAATGTGCAATACTTGGGGATGTTGGGGTGGGGGGTATATATTTGTCTTCTTAATTTATATGTTGTCTGTATATGTGGCGGCTGTGTGACGGTGGACGGTCTCTCGCAGGTCCAAAACAAATTTCTTCAAAGGAAGACAATAAAGATCTTATCTTATCATATTAAAATGTCCAACTTTACAGCAGAAATGGGCATGCTTACTGCCTCATACAATTTTTTTTCAGTCTCTATAGCCAATTTCAACATTCATGACAACTGTAAGGGGGTGAATTTTTTTTATATCTTGTGTGTTTACAGTCCTATTATACAAGGGTGAATATAAGGGGTATGCATGTGTAGGAGTGGGGCCGCTTGAATGACAGGCTGTCTGCAAGGTGTCGCCACAGCCTGTGAGTTGGATCCACCTCTTGCTCCTCCATAGCTCCGCCCTCTTGTCCAAATATGGTCACTTCTGGCTCCAAAAATCCAAGATGGTGATGGCTGAAATGCCGAATTTGAGACTTTGTAACAGGAGTCCACAAACCAATGGGTGACCTTATGGTAGCTATGTCCATTATTTATACAGTCTCTGCATCTGTCCTGTACTAGCCAAAGTCAACACTCTCTCTTTATAATAACAGTAAGCATAATATGCTCATGCTTTGTCATTTTAGTTTGTCAGTGTAACTGGTCCTTGCTCTAGGCTGCTGCCACCACATCTCTGTTAATGGAAAACAGAGTGTTGTATTTCATTTAATTGTCTAATTTTTTTACAATCTTGTTTCTAAATGGAAATTAACAGCAAGAGATGCTTTTTCATACACCTACATTGAAAGTTATCAGTCCATTAAATGGTCATAATTAGTTATAATTGTGAGCATAGATTTGAAGTAATGTAACCCTACTCTACCTCCTGGGCAGCAAAATCCAGTGGCTGTGGTCATTATGACGGGAGCAAAGGAGAAAGTCAGTTGATGTAGTATAAAGAGAGACAAAGTCTGTGTATCGAGGTGGTCTGGGGTTGGGCGATGGGTCAAACAAACACAGGACTTTCACCAAGGAGACTGCTATTCGTGTCCCATGTGAAACCAAAAGTCAACATTGACGTAGTGTGCTTGACTTGTGTTACGCAACAACTGTTGTTATTTTAACCCAAACCGTGATCTTGTTTTAAAACCTAACCACAGAATTGTGATGCCTACACATAACAATAGTGAAACTGAAACTCTGACTGTTTTACAGCGTTTATATGCACCTTTGGCCCAATAATAGGTGCAGTTTGCCTAATCTGAAGCTTTTTTTTTTTTTTTTTTTTTTAAAGATACTTTTTTGGGCATTTTTTGCCTTTAATGGACAGGACAGTTAAGTGTGAAAGGGGGAGAGAGAGAGGGGATGACATGCAGCAAAGGGCCACAGGCTGGAATAGAAACTGGGCCGCTGCGGCAACAGCCTTGTACATGGGGCGCCTGCTCTACCACTAAGCCACCGACGCCCCAATCTGAAGCATTTTAATGGTAGTGATGACTAAAAAGAGTGTTAATATGCAGTGTAGGCCTTCGTCTTGGCAAAGCAAGGGACTACAATTTCAGATATCTTAGGTATGCCACCAGACCTCAGCTAAGGAGCAATCATCATTTGACATTACTGAAAGGAAACTTTTTTTCTGATGAATTTGTGTAGGGTGCTCTGCTGGTAAAAGGAGAGAAAGTTTCCTTTGAGTGCTGTCTGGCCACATTAAGCACCTTACATTTCAATGAGCTAATATGTTAGATTTGGCCCGTTGCCTTTTTTTCTCCCCTGTGACATGGTGATTTTGGCAGAAGGCATAGAAGGCCTCACTTTCCTTGTTTTTTCTTTTTTACTTTTTTTTTTTTTTTTACTTTTTTTTTTAGACTGCAACGAGGTGACGAAATCACAGGGACTCTCCTTTGTGGACTTTGCTGCAAGTTTGGTCAGCAAATGGAATTTGATTTTACAACACCATAATGGTATATCTTTTTTTTTTTTTTTTTTAGACTGCAACGAGGTGACGAAATCACAGGGACTCTCCTTTGTGGACTTTGCTGCAAGTTTGGTCAGCAAATGGAATTTGATTTTACAACACCATAATGGTATATCCATTTAGGAAGAATGGTTACTTTAAGTTCATGCCTCGATACTTTAAATATACAGATGATTTCATCCTCTTAAACAGGAGCACCCTGAAAGTAAATGTGTTTAAAAAAAGCCAATAAATGAGCAGCCATTTACTGTACATAGAGATTTTTAGGTGTCAGCTTTTCTTTAAAAAAAAACTTTAAATCTCACATGCTGTCTCACTCTCTCTGTCAAAACCCACTGTAATGTATAATGTATAGTACATCAGATTTCCTAAAAAAGCAACGCACTTAAGTATCTACGGACTTTTCCTGTCATGTCAGTTGTCATCATGTCAAGCTTTTAATACTTATTAACCCTTTCATTAACTTGCATCACCAGCTTTGTAAAAACTCTGCCTGGTATACTAATTTAATATACGCTTGTGAGTTAACTGATGCAGTATTATTATAAATATATTTTTACAGAATCTGTTCTTGTAAATCTACAAGAAATAAACACTTGCCCATTAGCTTAGTGCATCACTGCATCCAGCATGAATTCATCCCGTAATTCACCGTGGCAGGTCCTGGGCGAGCTGTCCAAATATTAACATTATATGGGAAACGCTGCTAATATGCTGCTTAAGCCCCTGTCAAATGGGATGGTTGGACTTTGAAGATCACACATTACTGAAATGTTTGAATTCAAACCAGATTAAATTAGGGAGTTGTTGAATTATTCAAATCCTATTACTTAAGTAGGGTTGGATGCACCAGACCGTTCTGGTGGAATTTGTCCATTGACATTAGTTTTACGTAATTATGCCGTTTTATCTATAGTATGTCTTAATTTACAATGACTCGTCTTGGCGTAGACTTCCTCAGGCCATTTGAGGCTTAAAAGTTCACCTCATTGCCTTATAGCATTCCAGTGTCATGTGGCTTACACCCTTAGCTTAGGTCAATTTCACTGACCTAAAGGAGTCAGCAGACAAGTCATCCACCTTATTATTTAGGTCATATGGCTCAAAAGGTGACTTTGGAAACTCCAGCTTGTCAGAGGTCATCTCAGTTTCCATCTTATGTTGGCATGGTATTGATATTACTGCTGGTTGCAGGTTTTTGTTTGAGTGTCAGATTGATTTAGGGTTAGCGTGGCAATGGTGTTCCAAAACAGCAAAGCTTGGATTGGTTAAAGTATGGCTGAACTACACTGGTTTTGTTTAATCGTCTACAGTGAAATACTCATACCACCAAGAAGGAAGGCAGTAGTCACACTTTCTGTATGAATAAGTCTAAAACATGCTTTAAAGCTGCAAAAATCAGTATATTTGTAACATTATGTGTTTGTATCAGTACATACAATTTATTTTGGTTGGTACACAAATTTAGAAGTCACAGTTCAGTTAAAAAAGACCCAAATGTTAAGGGTATCTTTCTTTTGATAATTTTGGGACAGACAGTAGTACAAAGACAGACCAAGTCCTTTTGCATGGGACTGAGGGAGCATTTTGCCCACTAGTAACTTTGATAAACCATTTTCATGATTAGAAAAAAAAGACAATTACATTTAAAACATTTCTGTATTCTATTGTACAAACACTGAACAAACACTTCACCAAAAGGCATCAAGTCACAATAGGCAACAAAAAAACATCTCTTATGCTATTGATATTGTAAATACCAATATACATAGAATAATAAAAAAATAAATCTTGTGCATTAGGAGGAAGGTTTCAGTTAACTTCACTATATATAGTATATATAGCTATATTTAAACACTCAGGGCACCCAAACATTTATTTATTGTTCCAGTGATCAGCACATCTGGGTGATAATGTCGAATGTGTGTTTGTATGTCTACATACCATCCTTGTCTTGTACACAACTCTTTCTCCATTTGTGTTGTAGCTGACCTTGATTTCATTTGTGCTCGCCATAGTTTGACTGACTAACATGCCCATCAGCTTGTTGCGCTAACTTCGGCACATGTTGCTAACACTGTGCGGCTAAAGGTTTCCAGGTGGAACTCACTCTTGCGAACTTTGGTTCTGCATTGCATGCATCAGTCTACATACACTGTATTGTGTGTGCAGCTGCCTGCACTGGACCGTAATCACCATAGCATGTTCGGCACAAATACATGAACTGTTATAGTCTACTAATATGGAATCCTCTTGTCAGTTTTATGCACCCACGGAAGAGTTTTATTTACCCAGAGACTTGTGAAAATGGCTTTGATTAAACAGATGGGACCTTGTTAACGAAAATACACTCTTGAACTTTAATTTGGACTTGTTACATCGTTTAATACCTCACATCGGACCAAGCTTTGTAAGGGTTTTAAACCGTAGATCAAAACAAATGATGAGTCCGCTGCTTTATTACCAATAATTATAAACTGGCATTTACTTCTGGCTTCAATAAATGGGGTGTGGTATTGCCAAGATGCAGCAGTTGTTAGCTTATTTATCTCGAAAAAATCAAAATGGCTGCAGTAAATGCTACATCAAAGCCCTCCATCTGCATCAAAGCATCTGAATCAAACCATTGTGTTGATGTCTCACACATTTTTCTAATTTTACATTCTTGGAAAATTAACCGAATTATAGGTTGTAAAACAGAGTTGCCAACAGTCTAACTTCAATAACCTTTTATTACACTCCCTTGATTTAATTGCATCGTACAGTGTAGTGGTACATTTAGTGAGATTGTTGTGCAAGTTGAAGTGTGGGACTCACACTGTGTGTTTGCTCAGAGGTCATTTGTTTTGTCAGGTTCCCTCGGAGTTCAGGGAAACCTTCTTTCTTTTGTTTTTGTTTTATCTTGCTTATTTTACTTCCTTCTTTCCTTCCTGCCTGCACTCTGTTTTCCCTTTTTTTTAAAATGGCATTGCTATGATATTTTTTACATTAGTACATCCCTGCCTGTCAGATCTTCCCTCTTTTTTCTTTTTTTTATTAGATTTGCATCTTCAACTTTCCCTTTTTCAAGCTCTTAACCTTCTACATTATAAGTCCCTTTGCCTCCCCATCTCTCCCCCCTCCTCTCACTCCCATCCTTGAACTCCTTCCTCACGTCAGTGAGGGCTTGTGCTGTATTTGTGGAGTTTGCCCTGCTGACCCCAATTACCAGGTTAACCATTAACTTTTAGGTTTCACCTTGTTGGCCCTTTGCCCCCTGGCTCCTCGTCAACACTGACACAGCTACAGGCTGCAGTAGTTCATGCTGCATGAAATTTGCAAGCTGCTGGCAGGAAAAGAGAGAAAGAGAAATACAGGAAAGCTTTTGGTGTAGGGGGGAGTAGTGGGAGGAAATAGTCAAGGTGTAGCAGAAGAGGCAAGGCGTGGGAGCATAGGGAGTATCAATGAAAATCCAAATCACTGAAGCAGCTGGAGAGTTAAGTCAGACGAAGGAAGGCAAAAGAAGAGAAGAAGAAGAAGAAGAGACGTGGGAGTTACAGTTTTGGACCCAAGAGATTTTGTCTGGAGGAGTGTTAACTGTATGCTACTGTGTTTGGCTGCTGGGAGGAAGATGGAGGAAGCTCTTTCATAGTAGTAAAAGGTCAGCGGTAGCTGCCAGTGCTGCTGGGTGTCATGTTGTTTCTTTTATATCTGACATTATTTGTTATTGATCTCTGGTGAGTCACAGTTTCCACCAAAAGGCAGCTGAAAGTTTGATCATGATCTGTATCAGTATTTTATTGCATTTGGCCAGTGTTGCAGTAATGTTCCAAATATTTGCATGCATATATCCAACCTAATTTTCATTCTGTGAAAGTAATTGGGATGTCACCTGCAAGATATGAATATACAGATTATTCCAAATTAAAGTGGTAATAATATGTGAAGAGATTTTTTTTTCTCACTTATTCTTGTTTTGTTTTTAATAATAGAGTTGTAAACCTGTGCTTCATGAGTAATGTATGACTCACGAGAGGATATGCCAGCAAATGAATTATGTGTTCTTTAATGACTATGTTCTGTTATGATTGCTTGGTTTTGCAATGAAATCAGCATGCATTTTGGAGAAACAAAACATAATTCACCAAAACCAAACCAGACGAGAGACCAGACAATCAAAGCAAAGAAAATAGAGGTGGGTAGAGACTAGCAAACAAACAGAAAACTATTCATTTAATTGGTTTAGACTTCATGTTGGAAGTATGAGTCTGGCCCACGCTGTTGTGTAGTCTTTTCTCCTTTTTTAATAATTTGAAGTTGAATAATAGCTTCCTTTGGACTTTCGGTAAAACTAAGTTTGCAGTTTAGTGGACTCCTTTCTACTAATTCAACAAGAATTTGTCTTTAGTTGTCTGCGTGATAGTACAATATTTGTTACTTTTGAGGGTTTTTGTGGAGTAATCAATGAATCATCAATGTGGGAAAGTACTTGTTGGCCCCTTTCCAAAAATGCTTTCAAAACAGTGTAAAATTGTCTTTGTAAACAGTATCTATACCCCTTATAGTGGCCTTAACCAGAGCCTAGATCCAGCCAATGAGATCCATGGCCTTCTGCATATTTACTGTCCTGGTAGGGACTACTGCACTGGATTACCTTCAGTCTCTATGAAGCCTCTTTTAGTCCACAGGTCTGGTCTGTGGTACACTGACCTTCTCCCAAATCTCTACCTGTGTGGACTTTGTCTTTTCTGTAAACAGCGATGCAAATGTAAACAATAAATCATAAAATTTTCCAGTGGTAGCTGTTGGCAGTGATCACTGTTGAAATACCTCCTCAGAAGGTGCCATTACATTCAAGCAAACACTTGAAAACAAAAACATCTATAAAACAAAGAGATGAGCTGCAACCCATTTTTTTCTCATCAGGCCCACATCAAATGGTAATATACAGCTTTTTCTGTGCAGTTAAGTGTGTTTATCCTGAGACTTGTGCTGAGATTGTGGAAAACAAGCCTTTTCTCTTTTCCTTGCGATTATCCTTAAATGTAAATAGACTAATGGAGTGTAGTTACTTTGTGTGGTTGGTTTTCTGGTTGTCCCTCAGGAAAAGATGAAAACACACTCCCAGAGTTGCTTTTGCCGAGCTGCTCATCGTAGGCTGCTGTTGTAACGCGCGTGCTCATGCTCACACACACTCACACACACAGACCACACAGAAACTCTGTGTCCTGACGGTTTCACTGGATGACTGCTCAGACAGCTTTTTCTCTTGCCTGAATGAGGCTGCCACGACTGTCGCCTTTCCTTTTGGATATAGATGAGTCGGAGCAGGAAACAGGAAAATCTTTGAAGAAGACAACTAATGATTTATCTTAATGTCATCAGAACGTATTTAGCTTGGAATCTAGTGTGTGCTTAGACCATATTTTACGCAATGGAAATGTTTCCCTTTGGTAGTGGGTGGCCTTCTTAGGAAGGACAAGGTCAGACCTAATATTGTTTTTGTTGTGTATATACTATATGGCCGTATAGTCATAGTGTATATAGTTGTAATTTATTAATTAAATGTGGAGTAATAATACTTGTGTAATTTATTTGGAATAGCTCAGAAACATTTTCACCTATGTGGACTTATACAAATCTGACGTCAGAATTATCAGCGTGCACTCATTAGTGATCTCACCTGAATTTAACACACCAACTAAGGTGTTGAATGTTTTACTTGACCCACCTCTGAGTAAAAATCTAAGCTTTGTGAACTAAGAAACCAACAATGCTATATATTAACCCTACAGTTAAAGGAAATGACATTTTGACATTGATATAGCATTGGATTAGAGGAAACAGTGTATCACCCTGCTTAAAGTGTGGCATCTAGTGGTGTGGTGTTGTGACATAAAGGGTCAAATCTGAGTGAATGGAGCTTTGTGAACACAAGGTATAATAGGAGCAGTTAAAAACAGTTGGACTTCTGCTGTAATCACAAAAGAAATTTCACATTTTTAATTTCAGGTAGCGTTAATGACATTTGTGATGACAGTGGTGAAATGTTCCTTTTAAGTAGGGTTAATGCGGTGAAGGAATTTTTCTTGTGATTATTAATGGTGGCTCAACAGCATGACATGTGGTATCACTGCCATTTTTTTGTTATTTTTGCACATTACCTTATTTATCCTGGTGTAATGCTTTGTAAATAAGCTTTTTTGTTTGACTGTTATTAGGTATATTGCTGCTTTTTAAATGACAACAGATTTAATACTTGTGTGCTGTTAAATGCAGAACACTGAAGGGCAAGGAGGCGCAATAAGAGGCACATCATTTTTTTCACCTGAGACACTTTGGTTGCGTCTAGTTGCTATGATACAGAATGTTGCTAGTAAAAATGCCATTACCTGCTCTTGATGAAGGAAGGTGAAACAATGTAGGTAGAGAGAATGGACCCATTTATCCGTGTGAGTCCAGTACATCCTCCATTGTTGCTGCTGTTCAGCAATGTGACAGATGGTCTTTTAGGTCTTTGTCCCACCCCTCCTCTACTGTGATTGGACAGCAAGGTAAAAGTGACAGTGATAAGCGGCTGCAGGGTTTTACCCAAAGTTGAATATCTTTCAAACCAGCATAAACATGAATATGGCAGTGATTGCTGTTGCTTGGCCCTCCCTCTAGCTGGCTTGTCAATAGCATGCTGTTGTAATATTATGGTTATTGTGACAGTCTTACCTTTAGGCCTATTGCAGCAGAAGTATTTTGACTTGTGTTGGACTCCTTGCTCGCCTTATCAGCCTGTTTGTGTTAGGCTCAGGTGTACGTGCTGTGGCTAGACTTCCACATTTTTACTCTGCGTGACACGATGTCCGGTCAATCAGCTGTTGTCCTTTTGCCCTTATTCACATATTGTAGGTCAGCGATCGACAAGAATGTATTGATCACCCACGAGTAAGCCTCAGCTCATCTGCGCATGCATGTAGAGAGAGAGAAAGCGATTTGTCTCTCAGTCCTGTCAAGCTATTGATTTGGTTTGGGAATTTTACATTCAGCATCATTAAAGATGATGTAAACATAGATAATTTATGCAGGTAGGACTGTCAGCTCTCTATCCTACTGTATTATATTACGTAAACTCTCCTGCTGTTGGACTTCTTCCCAGAACACTTCAGGGTACACCTCACACGCCTCTACGTTCTATTAACACTGACGAAACAAAACAAAATGAAGCGCCCTCAGAGGATGAATGGGCTCTGTGCTAGGAATACCTTATCTGTTCATCAGTGTGTATTCTTTCTACTACAGCATCAGTTCTTAAGCCATCACAATTAAGCTGTCAGGAACAGCGCTGCACAGATCATGTCTCACCCTTGGGCCCAGAAAGGCTTTCTGCCATACACATCCACACAGCTGTAAACAAAGAAGATGATTTCCTGGCTATTGCATTTGAAAAAATACAAGTTTGGCACGAGAGTGGCACTAGAAGGAAAGTCATGTGGTGTGTAATGAGAAGGGTTCAGCTTCATTTTTTTCTTCTCTTTACTCTCACCTTCCTCTTTATTTTCTTTATACCTGTATTTTTTCAACCACGTGCTCTCTATACTCCAGCCTTTTCTTTCCCTTTCTGCCTCTTTTTCTTTCCCTCTTTACCCCTTCAATTCCTTTCTCTTTAGCTCTCCTTTCATTCGTCAGTTCCCGCCTTATTTTTTTTCATTACTTCATTCCTTTCTTTACAAGCTCCTCTCTGTCTCTCCCTCTCTTCCCCTCGCTCCGCCCTCTCCCGTCTCCCTGTCGGGCTGCCAACAGCCTGACGGCCTGTTCGTTTTCATCCTCTGCCTAGAAAACAAGGTCTAAAGTTCAAAGCTGCTGTTGTGGATTGGCGGCAGGAGAGGAGCACAGAAGGAGGCCAGGCCTGGGTCAAAACAGATTTGAATATCGTCTTAAATGGATGGAATTTTAATCTAATCAGACATCAAATTTCAGTTTCATAACACGTAGCACATTCGAATTAGATGAATAACATGGGGATTGATGACTCATAGTTTCAGCAGTTTCAGGACACAAAAGATAATAAATACTGCACATGTGGGTTTTGTTTGTAGCAATGCACCGCAAACAGCTTTCAGACCGTTATAAGACACAGAGGATTTACACAGATTATTGGCCAGGTATGTTCTCCAACAGTATGTTGGTCTAATTATCAGCCCTCAAAGTGGAGACTTGTGAGATGAGGCAATTAAAATGTCTTCTTTGATGTCTATAAGTGTACGTGAGTGTGTATGCATACGTTGGACACAATTTCCTGTGATTGTAATGCATCCAGAAGTTCTTTCAATGCTACACCCATTAGGCTAGGGGAAAGCCAGGAGAGGAGCAAGTGAAGGTGATGTTCAAGGGGCTAGGGAGCACAAATCAAGTGTGCTCTGACATGTTGTTTTGGCCTAAAGCCCCAAAAGGGGACACTGGTGAGAAGTCATAAATTTTAGAGTTCTTGTCTGTGTGTGTGTGCTGTTTTTCTTGGTGCTTTTAATCTGATTAGTGAGAGACATTTTTTGAGGGGCTCGTCATTTCCCAGTCACCAGAAGAAAATGTTGGCATTGTACATTTCTGCAAACCACAAATGTATTACTTTTGTGTGTTTCATTAGTATGACGTAGTTCAGTTTACATGTATATG